GTAAGCTGCGTGGTCGCCTCGTATTGTCGCTCTTTAATGGCCCAGAGGCTCCCTGCACCGACTTTGCCATACACCCCTCGAAGAAGTTCAGGATGCCGTAGAGCTTGGCGGCTTGACCTGGGTGCAGGCACGAACTTGATTCTGCGTCGGCTAGCATGGAGGAAACCTTCTGTACGATCCTATCTCGCGGCCAAAAGTGCACCACACCGTCAGAGAGAGCACGGGACATGTCGTGCGCGAGGCCCAGGAAATCCCCACGATGCGACATGGGTTGCCTCTTGGATTCGGCAAAAGGGGTACCCAACAGCGCGTTGAGCTGCCCAAACGCCCACTGACCCGAACCCTTCGATGAAGCCCAGTCTCCCACTGTGGCGTCGTCGAAGTAGAGGGAAACCATGGTCAGCACGAGGCGGCGCCCAAGGGCCTCGACCAGACGAGAGTAGCGGTTGAAAGAGGTCACCGCCAAGGGGAGTCCGAACAGCAGGCCGGCATACACCTGGAACGCAGACCACACAAGCTCGGGATTCCTCCGAGGACATCGGCGAGTGGCGGTATGCGTTCGGCCAATCTTCGCCTCCGATTTGCCAGGAGTCCTCGGCTCGGGCCACCGCAAGGTCCGCCTCGGACATGTAGCTGAGGGTGGCTCGCAAATGCTGGGCCGGCCGGAGCGGGGAACAGAGTACAAGCTTGTTTGAGTCCGCTGAAGTCGCCGACTGACCGCCCTCAGCCGCGTTATCAATAATACGATGCTTTCCTGACCCTTGCGTAATGACGCAGCGGGGTATCACTCTGAACGGTTGTCGTTTCAAGAGCCTTTGAACACCGGCTTGGGACAACGGCTCGGAACAGAAGCCCTGGGCCGCGTCTGCCAACATTGTTCGAGCAACACCTGATCCAAGCGCCCCGGCTTTAGCCTTCGAATTGTCTCGGCATTGTGCTTCTGCCAATCGCCCAGGACCTCCTCGAGGCCGATCGGCGTAGCTCTCTGGACAGGGAAAACCCCATAGGGCGGTGCGAACCCAACCGCCGGAAGGCCCTTGACCAGCCCGTGCGCGTAGGTCACGTCTCCCCAACTGGCCAGGATGATGAGCAGCGCCGTCAAGCCGAGGTCCCGCTGCTGGGTGGCTCGCTGCAGTGCCTGTGGCTGCCGGGCACGCAACCGCGTACCAACTGGCCTCCATCGTCGCTTCAGTTCTTTGAGGGCCCCCACCGCGCGCTGGCGCATGGGTCGCAGGGCACCTCTGTGCTTGGCGTTCACCTCAGCCGCAAACAGAAGGTCGGCGTCGAGCAC